AGTCATGTCTGTTTATTGTACTGCTCATTGTAAAAACTCAGAAGAGATGAAAAACTTCTCCAGTTATTTTAAAATTACCAAACTTTCATTTTTCTAGTCTAAAACCACTCATTCATAAATAATTGTCAGTTATCTAGATTTTCTTGACAGATATAAATGGGTATTCAGAGTGCAAGTACAACACAAGTGAACTGCACAATTCCTTAGAAACTTCGAAGAGTATTCAACAGCCCTGATTATTTTTCAATAAAGCTCCACTTCAATTAATGCTATTTGTTTTAAAAATTCCCTTTTAAGGGAACTGGGGATGGGAATTCACACAAAACAGAGATCATTATGAGCAATGAACTAGTAAGCTTGCGAAGAGCTGATACTGAGTTTGCTTCCTTTTTTCCTTCATTCCACACAGCAGTCTGTTCAGGTCACCAGTTTCTACACACAGAGTGCTGCTAACTTTCACTGATGTTCAGGTGCCACTTCAATATCAAAGATTTCCTTGAACAGTGATACAAAAGGGACTAAAGAAGAAAAACTGGTTCCTGCAAGTGGTAATCTCTGTCCCAGGCCAATCTCTCTAAGAACACACCTTCTGTCTAAACATAGTTGAAGAAAGCTCACTGCCAGGGATTTAACTGGGATCAGTAACTACATGCGCACATTTACCCTCGAGTGACTCCCATCCTAAAGAGACACTCAGTCATGTATAGCCCTCTACGTTTCTGATAGCGTTTGAAAGGTTCTGAAAAACGCTCTCCAGTGAGAAGTCCTTCATTCATCTGCACATTTCTCCCGTCTCTGGGAGGGTAAGCGGGACCTGGGCCCCACTGTGCCCTCCCTTCTTGCACTGGTGCCACCAACAGGAAGGTGTCTAGTGGGCAGCCCCACTCCTTCACTACACCCGGGATCTTCTCTTCCCAAATAAGGCTCTTACCCACCACCCACCTCCACTGTAAGGTAAGAAATAAACTTGAAGGTTTCTTGTTTGCTTGTTTGTTTGCTCTGAACACTTTTATCTTGGAAGACTATGAAAGATCCACAAGCTAGAAACCTAAAAAAGTGAGGATTTTAAAGACTCAATTACGGTAACTATTTACCCCCTTGTGTTATCCAGATTAATTTCTGTGTGTTTATCACACACCACTTAGCTATTACAATTAATGGAGTTTCGTTGAGGAATTTAGTCAACCAGAAGACGTCACTTATGGGAGCACTTCTGTCCCAAGATTGAAAAAGTACATGATGTTTACAAAGTCACTTGCTCTGTCTGAAATTCCAGTTAGTCCCATGGAATGTTCTAAACAGTAGCAGGTATACCTCAGCTGAAGTAGTCTATAAAAATGAGCTATACTTCTGGGTACCATGGCTTTGCTAAAACAAAACTCTCTCTCAGTTTTCTGTAACTGCAGTTATGTGCTGAACATGCTTCTGAATTAATCTCTTATAAAGAAGGCATCTACCTCTGAAGTATGATTTATATCTTGCAACTTAAAAGTTTAAGGTAAACTTTTTTAACTCAAATCCAAACATGGACTCATTTGAAAATCTGAGGTACTGGAATGCTAAGATGCTTTTTAAATCAATTTCTAAGCATTCTAAGTTCTAGTTTAAAATATTTATGCATTTATTAGACTATGTTACGAAGCAGCTGGTCTGCACGACAAGTATGGCTATGAAACATGTTTTTGATTCAGTGTCTTAATTTCCCTCTTTAGATCTCAGAGAGATAAAATTGGACCAATCATAGTACCTGATCCTAGAATCACTCTCTTCCACTTTTATTTAGTTAGTTTACTTATATGATAAGCATCTGTAAACCTATCACTAAAACAAAAGCTAAGAACCTGACAAAAGTCTACATTTGCCATTTGGTAAAGTCACTTAAGTGTATTTATGCAAATTTCATGTGATATTAGCTTTCCCAGCATTTGAGGTGCTTTACAGAAAGCATAATATGATTTGAAATAAGCTTAACATCAGAGCAATGCTTTTGGTTAAAAATATTCACACTGGGAATATTTTTAGAGAATGCTGGGCTTATTAACCCCAGGGTGGGGAGGGAGGGGAGAAGAGTCTAACTGCTTCTGTGGCCATTTTCACATTGCCAACAACCCAGAGCCTTTTTCAATAATAAACTGTTTTCCAAAATTAACCAGAGGACCCCTTGAAGCGCCATGCGTCCTGCTCGCTCGGTGCTGAGCGCGCACGCAGACGGGCCCCGGCAATCCTCCGGAGATGACGGGCTCTCTAGCAGACAGGGGAGGCTGGAGCGTGTGAAGCACGTGACACTGCACAGGCGTAACTGGTACAAGCCAGACACATTCATGGACATGGAGCAAAAGGAAACAGAAATGTGGCAAAAGACAAAAAACGAAAACCCAGCAGAGCGACAAAGCCATAATAATCATGGCTCACCTGGGGATCTGGCTGCAGAGTAGGCACTGGAGGAGTGGCCACCCCTCTTTACTGTGCACATGCAGTATACACAAAGGGGGAGACAGTAAGGAGAGCGGTTATTCAGCGAGTCTAAACGTGCACACAGAGAGAAGGTAAAACAACCCGACCTCAAGAAAGTGGGGCAGGCGCTGAAGAGGAAGCAGCAGACCCGCAGGAACTCCCCCAAACTCGGTAGTTGAAGAGAGGCGATGCTTGAGGCAGTTTTTATTGATAGTATTTCACATGTTCTAGACTTCCCACATGTAAAACCATGGTTTTTTTCACAGTCCTTTCTTTAATGGGAAATGATATCAGCAAAGCTATTCATAATTACCACAAGCAAGCCTTATAGAACCAATATATCAAGACTTGGGGGATATTCGAATTTTTTTTAAAGTGCCAAAAAAAAAACCTAACAAAATTATGACAAGTCTATAGGCTAAGGATCTGAAAGAAACTTAGAGGTTAAGTCTGACTCTGACATAAGTAGCACTACTTTCCAACAATAATCGTTGCTACCATTAAATTGCTTGATGAAGGAAAAGCCTGTGGATACTTATCAGGTAAATATAGTTCTGTTAGGGGTTTATGTGTATGTTTTTAACCAATAAGAGAAGAAAATACCCACAATCAAATACCACAAAATTAAAAATGCAGCTCACACTGGTCAAAATGTGAAACACTTTTATGGAAATACCAGGAGAAGCCTCTAGGTAAGACTGTTCTCGAGAAAATGTGTCAAAACAAGTTTCTTAGGACAGTTACTATAACTATGAGAAACAGACTTAAATTTTTCGATTTAAAAAATCACGTCATCTCTATGCTGTTCTGGATCCTAGCCACATACAGGACGGGAAAGACCACTCATTTATATCAAAGAGAATTAAAGGAGAGTGATCTGCCCCTCTCGTGACTATCCATTCCTCTCCTGTTAATTACCTGAAGCTGGTGATTTGCTGCGTCGAGAAGGCCCAGGGCTCTTGGATCCAGAATACTTAACAGCTGCCGAGCGAGAATAAGATGACTTCAAGACGCGGCATTCTAGAAAGGAAGGGAAGTGCATTAAATCGCTCTGGATTTAATTTTAACCAAAGGACGATCACATGTTATAGTAGTTTACTGCCTAGAACCATTACCTAATCATCTTTTTTATCACTGTTACACGACTTTAATACATAAAGCAACTCCTGAGGTTATCTTAAATTAGGCTTCACATCTTGTGACATCTCTTCATTGTTCTAGATGGAGTTCTTAATGCTAAAATCCCAAGGTCCTGGCTTGATTCACACACACCTGCAGCCTAACTACACACGTGCAACTTATTTTTTAATTATTATTTTATTATTTTGCATTGAGAAGCAAAGGCTACAACAAAGAGTTCTCTCCAACTCTTTGATAATTTTATTTTGAAACGATATATAGGACTGTGATTTATGAACCCCTTACTGTCTTATTTTCCATCTGCCCAAAGTATGAAGCATCAAAAACTGAGGAAACGAGCTTTAAACAATAACGTTGGCCTTTCCATCAAATGCCAAATAAATTAGCATGCAGAGTTCCAGAACTAATTACACAGCTAAAATAATCGCTTCTAATTTGAATAATTATGAACATTGGTTTTGGAGTCACGTAGATTTTGGATGAATCAAGGATTTGACTTTGCTAATTGGTGGACCTCGGTTAGGTCTAAGTCTCAGTCTTCACCCCTTTGAAACTGGGATAAGAATAAATCTGCTTCTCAGGCTTGTTGTAAGGACAAAATCAGATAACACATTATTTGTAATTCACATCAAAATACTTCAATTTATGCAGAAAGATGAAAATGTGGGTTGGTTTTAATCTATGCCCCAGGGGCAATAAACTAACAAGTGAAGCACCCTAATCAGGAAAATACACACCAGGGGAGGTTAGTTAGCATTTGAAAGACTCTAATCAAAACCTCGCTCAGAGGGGGCCACAGCCAAGCCAGCTTAGTTAATTAGCATCATGGGTGTTGGAGAGTATTGCACTGTTGAAAGGAGTGGTGTGGCGAACTGGTTGGAAACTTCCCAAAGGCACTGCCACGCTTCCAGGAGCAGGATGTGTAAATCCAGAGAGCCAGTAACTCGAACTTCAGAACTACACCTGAGGTTTAGGAATCTGAGCCTGTCCTACATCGAGCTCTCAATGGAGAAATCCGCTCCTTGACTAAGGCTAGATTAGCTGAAGTCTGTAGATTCTGAACGGATCTTTAATGTAGGATGTAGTCAGAAGCATAAAGGGCAGAGTTGGGACTTGTTCAGATTACAGCACAAGTTAAATAGCTGAGTTAAAAAAAAAACTTTGCCTCCTAATAAATGTACTTGTAGCAGAATTAGGCCTGAGACTTGCGTTCACTGTAAAATGTTATGACCTTATGGTGGTGGTATAACAACATTAACAAAAACAGGGTGGGAGGGTATAGCTTAGCAGTGGAGCACATGCTTAGCATAAACATGGTCCAGCACCTCCTCTAAAAATAAATTAATAAGTAACCCTAATTACCTCCCACCCAAAAAATAAATTAAAACAACAACAGTAATAGCAATAGCACATACTTTGTGATGGGCACCCTTCCAACTGCTATCACATATTAGCTCACTGAATCCTGACAAAATTTTATGAAAAAGCCACTATTATCCCCAGTTTGCAGAAGGTTCAGTAATTAGTGACTGAGAGGGGAAGAAACCAGTAACTTTCACCCACCTCTAACAACAGTATTTGCCCATAGCCAAAACAAAAAACAAAAAACCATGAATGATTCAAAAAGCTTAGGTAAATCGACAACATGCATGTAGAGCACTGAGTACAACGCCTGGTAACACGCACAGCAAGAGCTCAATAAATGTTTTTTGCTGTTGTTCCCCAAGTTAACTTTACAACCTAGAACACATTCAAAATGACTAATGCTGACATCAAAGAAATATTATGAAATGAAATTAAGCTAAAAGTTTTCAAAAGATGTAAAATACAGATCATAACGTAAATGCACGTTTTTTCAGTCAACCCATGAGGACAGGGGAGAGCATTAGCATAGATGATGTCTTCAGCTCTTTAAGGACTTCCTGATGGTATTACCGGTTTAAAGCAGAGCCAGTCCAGTAGAGCACAAGACAGTACAGAAATGCTCAGATTTGGCAGCAGCGAAAAAGCAAAAGACTACATACATGAGGCCCAAGCACAAAGTAGGTTAGTTACACGTAGATAACTGACACAGTGTAACAGGAAGGAATTACACATGAAAGTCTGGCACCAGAGAATGTATCATCTTGAATTTTAAAAAGTCTACGGATCACCGGATCACTGTATTTATTTGGTAATATATTTCTCTAATTCTGGACTATCAGAATCACCACAATTAGAAGGGTCAGTCTAACTGTTAAAAAGCCAGCTTTCCTTGTTCATGAAATTAAAGAGTGAGAATGAATCTCTAACATCCTTCTTCTCTGTGAAGTGTTATGTCTGTATGATTTTACGTCATTTAAAGATGAAGTTGACTCTACTATCAGCTAAAAAAAAAATCACGATTACTGTAATAGGTTTAAATTAACTCCAGACAACAGAGTAAAACGATATTCCCAGAATCAATCACATTTAAAATCACTGAGGTTATTTATGGCTAAATACTTGAAAATTCCATTTTTCTTGGCTAAAATTAAGAGAAAAGAATTTTCTTATTCCATCAATGAAAACAATTTTATTTTTTCTGCATATATAAACAATGCACGTAACTGTTTTTTAAAAAGTTGCAAACGAACAATGAGGTAAAAAGAACCCTGAGATAATCACTATTAACAACTTATTAGCCTTTTATCTCTTTACAGACATGGAAAATGCAGAATGAACCATTTCAGGTTTAACACTATCCATACACTTATGGTGGCAGAGCCAGGCACCATTCTGCAAGAAGGGAGAAAATCCATTTCAGAGGCAAAACAATGCAGTAAAGAGATGGAAACAACTTGCTTTAAAAAAAATGAAAGCTATTTTAGTTGAATTAGGGTTTTTTTTTTGCAACTAGGTAAATATTTTCATTTTATTTTCTACTTTCATTAATTCAAAAAGAGTACTGTCAATGCTATCTTTCTTCAACACATCAGACCACTTAACATGCACAAGTGACAACCCCAAGCCTCCATTTCAGGGTGACAAAGACCATCAATGAACTGCCTTACCACTGTGATCCAGGACAAAGTCATCTTGGGCATAACGGAATTTTTCAGGTCCACATGCAATAAAAACATCATCATCACCAAAAAAGTCCTGCAGACAAGTAACCTAAAATAAAAAATCATGTCCAAGAAATAAATTAGAAACATTAGAAATGAAATAAAAATTAGCAAAATTGAATATATTTTCAAGCCTCCCATATAATGCTGGGTTGGAATGAAGAACTATTTCATAGCACACATTTCCAAGCATCTTACTGTTTACAAAGCACTTTCACACACTGTCTCTTGATCTCAGAACAACAAAATGAGGGGCTCATAGCTGACATCAACATTCCTGTTTCACAGGTGAAGTGCAGGGCATCCACAGGAGGTTTAGTGATGGTTTCCTGGTTTCCCATTAACTGGTGGCAAAGCTGGAGCTGATAGAGGTCTCAGTCCCCAGTTCAGTGCTCTTTACTCTTCTATCCTTCCCCTCTCCCGGCGACTCCACCCCCAGCCATGCCAGCCTGGACATGACCTCTCTGTGCCGCAGGCACAGTGCACCTTAGGTTGTGATGAGGATTCGTGTATGAAAACCGCTCATATGTGTTAACACTCATCTCTACCACCACCATCGTTATCATTAAGAACAGAGGAAGACTTGCCACAAAGCCCTTCCAAGGTCTGTACCTAAACATATAGTCTTTTTTCACTCCCTCCCCCAATACTGTATCAGTTTCAGGTCCTGCAGAACCTGGATCCACCCCCAGGGGGCTCAGCCATCCATTCATCCTGGTGGTGACAAGAAGAACAACCTTCCAGGGCTTTGGATGAACGCAGGCTTCACTTTCACCTGTTTTAATGGGATGCATGAGAAGATTTCTTTTTTTAAAAGTACTCCTCTCCCAATAATAACGAAGTTTTAAAAAAAAAATCAGTGCTCTAGTACTTGGAAGGATTGAGCTATGTCAGTAATTCATTGTCTTCCTGATCACCATTTAGCTTTCCACTGGCGGTGGCGGGGGGTGGGGGTGAATCTCACAACAGAGTTAGAAAGCAGCACCCGAGAAATATAGGGAGCTAGATGCAGGAAGTGGGACAGGCAGCGATACTGCTCCAGTCATTCCAATTCTGGTCCAGCGAGATGTGGCTTCTGTACGTCACTGCAACTCAGCTCAGGGCACAGTGTTTTTAAAAAGTGTTTCCATCAGTTGGCGCTGCTTTAACAAATCACCATAGACTGGTAGCTTAAACAACAGACTTATTTCTCACAGTTCTGGAGGCTGAGAGTCCGGGATCAGAGTGCCAGTGAGTGTGGGGTGTGGGCAGAGCCCTCTTGCTGGTTTCCTCACATGGGGAGGGGGTTGCAGAGAGGACACGGGAGGAAGCAGGTTCTCTCCTGTCTCTTCTCTAAGGGCACTAATCCCACGTGGGGGGCCCACCCTCATGACCTCCTCTAACCCTAATTATCTCCCAAAGGCCCCTCCTCCTAATACCATCGCACTGGGGATTAGGGTTCCAACATACACATTTTAGGAAGACACAGACAGACAGTTTGTAACAGAAGAGTAACATTTTTCACCTTTCCTGATAAACCCGTTTCTCTTCATCTCAGTTGGTGATTGCACACACCCCTTCCTCCACGCTGACGTCCTGGGAGCCAGCCTTTCCTCCCTTCTTCACCAACCCTTCCCAACGCTTTTCCGTCCACATGGCTCTCAAGTATTTCTTTCCCTACTCCTGGGTTCAGCCCTCACTTTCTCTTGCCTGGCTCCTGTCACTGGTCCAGTAGCTCCAGTCATCCCTCTCCTTCCAAGCGTGGAAACAAATGAAGACCGTGCTGGTACTGCAGTCTCCCACAGGTGCCGGGTGACCACACCATGTCTAGCACTCCCCGACTTCCCTCCTTGACAGGGCACACGAGACGGACCCCGCCTGACCCTCCAACCCTACCTTTGCCATTTCTTCTGCACACTTGCTCCTTGGCCACACCAGGACCTCTCTGGGTTCCCTACAGTACGGGTGCTGGTGGTTCTCTGTTGTTTAACAGATTTAGGGAAACACAATTCACAAACCATGCAATTCACTCATTTAGAGCGAACAATTCAATGGTGTTTAGCGTATTCAGAGTCCAGGAACCATCACCGCAACCTATTTGAGGACACTTCCATCATCTAAAAAGAACTGCCCCAGGCCCATTATCACTCACCCCCAGGCCTCCCTCTCCTCATTCCCAAGTTCCATCGTCCACTTTCTGTCTCTACGGATTTGTCTGTCCTGGACGTTTTATATAAATCAAATCATATAATCCGTAGCATTTTGCAACTGGTTTCTTTTACTCAGCACGTGTTTAAGGTTCGCCTGTGCTGTGGCACATGTTAGTACTTCATTCCTTTCTACAGCTGAGTAATACTCGGGTGTATGGACACCACATTTTGTGGATTCGATCACCACTTAGGGGACATGTGGGTAATTTCCACCTCAGTGCTGGCTCTTACTACCATATGCTTCCTCACGCCGTTCCTCAGCCTGAAGCGGCCTTCCTGACTGCACTGTGGTGCCGTGACCTCCAGGCAGGCGATGGCATTTCCTATTCTTCGTTCCCCAGGGTCTGAATGAACTGTAAATGAACTGTGTCGAATGAACAGTGGCTTGGTATGGAGCTGCTCCTAGTGGAACTGAGTTCTCAGACACAGAAATGACTTCTCTGGGTGAGTGGTGTCACAGATGCAATCTCTACCACCATCATTCAGGACTTAAGAGGGTTTAGGCATCACTGAACCTCTCTGAATTCTCTCTGTCCTGTAGATGTATTATCTCATCAATTCCTACAATAACCATGAGTTTGACACCATTATCACTCCTCATTTACAAAAAAAAAAAAAAAAGTCTAGAGGGAGCAACTCGCCCACATGCAGGTCGTGAACAGGAGCACAGGAGTTTAGACACGGCCCCTCCACTTCCACATCTCTGCTTTGAACTTACACCATGGTGCCTCCCCTCCTGTGGAATCCCACAGTTCATCTTTCTAACTTTTACAGTTCATATCACGTTCTATTGTTTTTATAGTCATTTATGTCTCTTATCTCCATCTACTTTGTTTTTTTACACATATATATTTAACAAAAGGTTCTTAAATGGGGCTGAATCCAGTTTTACTTTCTTGGCTAAATAAAACAGACATCTATCAAAGTTTAATCCAATTTTTAAAGCGCCATTTCATTTGTTTCTATAATCAATATAACATGAAAAAAGTAACTGAATTAAAAAAAAATTCCTGTATGAATGTATCTGTCTGGAAAGTCAGTTAATTTTGAATTTATTTTATTACAAGGAAATATTTCATCCAGTACTAAATTAGTTGGCATTTGACTAGAATAAATGTCAAAGAATTAAGTTGCCTATTATGCGGAATAAAAGTATTTAACAAGTTTAGAGAATAGAACAGCTCAAAGAGATGGTTCATCCCCCCTCCCGTAGCAGTTCTGTTAAGTTCTTTCTAATCAATTGTTTAATAATTTCACCTGTCAATATAAGTTGGGCTTTCCAATCACGGATTGCATAAGATGTTTGCATTCCTTTAATTCATGTTCTAGCCATTAAATAAATATTTGGCTAAATAGTTAACCAGATTACATAATCAGTAATTAGGTTCAGATTTACCTGAATAAGTCATCACCACTCTCAAGAAATGATAGGTGTCATATAAATAAATTATAAACTAAGATAAACATTATTTTGACTAATTCTATTAAGGTATACTCAGGATACTGACATACCTCATAAAATATTAAACTCTCCTGTTCTCATTCATTCAACAAATTCATACTGAGAACCTACCACATGCCACTCACTATGCTAGATGCTACAGTAATAGTAAAAAAAAAAAAACAAAAAACAGAGAGAAAGACAAAAATCCTTGCCTTCATGGAGCAAGTATGAGCTGATGCACAACAAAAATGCATGAGTAGACTGGGACATTAGGCTGTACACTAGAAACTGACACACTGTAACTGACTATACTTCAATGAAAAAAAATACATGAGTAAATTTATACAATGTTAAAAGGTGGTAAGTGCCACATAGAAAGATAGTAAGGAAGGGGAGCAGTGAATGCAGGGGACAGGTGCTGCCGTGCTAAACAGGGTGGTCAGTGAAGGCCTCGCTGCAATGGTGACATCTGACCAAATATTAAGAGCGGTAATGGAGAAGCCATATGAATATCTGGGGAGGGGTGTAAGTGGTTCCAGGAGAGGGAACAGAATATGCACAGGCCTTGGCCTGTTCATAGGAATCAGTCCTGGACCAGGTAGAGGGGAGGGGTGACTGCAGAAGAGGTCAGCACAGTAAAGAAGGGAAGCAGATTGGGTAGGGCCTGCCAGCCCCTAGTCAGGACTCTGCCTTTCCTCTGTGTGAGACGGGAAACCACTGGAGGCTTCAGAGCAGAGGACTGCCACAACATGACTCACTTCTAACAGCATCACGCCGTGTTCAGACTAAACTGCAGAAAGACAAGGACAGACAGCAGCACGGTTGGAGGCTACTGCTACTCAGCAAGACAGGAGAGTGGCCTGTGCCAAGGTGTCAGGAGTGGATGGAATGAGAGGGGGTCTCACTGCTCCTTGGATATGGGGACATGAGAGAAAGAGAAGAGTATGAAGGATCAGGGTTTTGGCTTGAGCCACTGGAAGGATGGGCTGGCCAGTAACTCTAGTGGAAGAGTTCAAGATAACAGGCAAGGTTAGTGGTGGGAGGATGCTGGTGAATTCAGATTTGGAACATGAACTATGAAATGCCTATTAAATATCCAGGTGGAGGTGCTGGGTGGAAAGTTGGACATAAATCTGAATTTCACGGGAGAGAGCTAGCCTGGAGATGTAAATTTGTGTCTCACCAACAGGTGAATGCTCTTTAAAACCTTGAGGTTAATTACAGCAATGAATGCACACAGGGAAGAGGGCTAAGGCCTGAGCCCCGAAATACAGCCACATCACAAGGTCAAGGAGAAGAAGTGAAACCAGTGAAGAAGACTGACAAGGAACAGTCAATGAGAGAGGAAGAAAAGCAAGACTTTGTACTTCACAGAAACCAAGCTCAGAAAGTGTTTTGAGGCGGGAGCAATCCACTGGGTCAGTGTTACTGACACGCCAAGTAAGATGAAGACTGAGGAGTGGCCGTGGAACTGAGAACCATGGAGATCATGAGGGTCTTTGAGCTGTTTTGGTGTAGTGGCTAAAATGAAAGTCTAACTGGAGCGGCTTTAACAGAGACAGGAGAAGAACTGGTGACACTGAGTACAGACAACTCTTTCAAGGCATTTTGACTGGAAAGGTGGGACAGAGGAGTGGGAAGGTGGCGGAAGGAAGAAGGGAGTCCATGGTTAAGACAACTTATTTTTCAAGATGAGAGAAACAACACAGGTTACTATGCTGTTGACATTATCTAGTAGGGGGGAAAATGGTGATTCAAGAAAAGGGAATTGCTGGAGCTGCATCCCTTTGTGAGAGGGGATGGATCAGTGTGCAGGGGAAAGGACTCAACCTGCATGAGAATGCGGTCAGTCTTCGACAACAAAGGAAGCCGGCTGGAAGCTGCCAGGTGGGGACATGTATGTGGTGGAGAGGCTGGTGGATTGCTTCCTGCTTCACCAAGAAAACTGAAGCAAAGTCATTAGCTCACAGTGAGACTGGGGGAGGAGGTACAGCAGATTCGAGGAGAAAGAAAAGGTGTGAAATTGCAATCTGTGATTGTGGGGAGAATGAACAAGGAGGGAAATGAGATGGGCCTGCAGGCAGCATCAAGGGCCCACTGGGGGGTCCCACAGTCGGCATGATAGACATTCTTTGTCCTAAGACTAGAAAGCAGCTACCGGCCTGTACAGTGTTTAAGAAAAATCAAAACCTTTTAAGCTGGAATTGTTACTATTTCATTGGGCTGCATCTCAATAGCCAACAGAAGAAAACTGACAGGAACCCAGATGATGCAAACAACTAGACTGCACCGATAACGAATAAATAAGGAAAGAATGGGAACTTCCCTCCCTCTGCAGCTGGCTGGCTTAAAATACAAGTCTCAGTTCATATTTTTCACAACATAGATGGGTACTGCTATGCACTGTCATTACTGTGTTTAACTAAAACTGTAAACTTAAAACACACTAGAAATAGAACACCAGCAGGCAGGGATGCAAGTTGATGGGGACGATTAAAGGTGAACCAAAACTAATATTCACAGAAGGGGAATGAGCAGATTCCAGTTCTGTTTTCACTCCCATCGTCTAGGATAACGCACTTGTGGTGGTATTTAAAATACAGCTGTCAGCCCAGAAGGCATGCGCTCAGCAGCACAAGCTTTTGCTGGGAGCAGAGGACACCCTGTGAGCCTGACTTCCCCCCCCCCACCCTTTTAAACAAGTAGAATCGTAGGTAAGATACTCAACCTCTCTGAGGCTCAGTCTACAACATGGGCAAGAAACCAGTTCCACTACATCTTTCAGGACTAAACATGAGAGCATGTGAAAGGAGTTGATACATGTTATTTCTTCATTTTCAGTAATTCATGGCCTCAAATGCTTTTTAAAAATCTTAACTCAATGGATAATCTTTTCTATAAGTATAACTAATAAACACACGCTTTCCTACAAGTTCAATACATTAGATATTTTCCCAGGGGAAAAAAAAATTCTAGCATTAATCAAGTGTCTACCACAGGCCAAGCATAAACAAAGAAGCACGTAGTCTCATGGTAGAGATGAACAAGAAAAGCAGTAATTACCATTCAAAACGTCACAATAGGCGAACACTGTAATAGAAGAACCGCCACAGGAGTAAAGCAGCCCAAAGAAACAACTCGAAAAACAGCATCCCATAAAATGCTCAATACCTTTAGAATAGTCCACGTATCTGGACACATAGATAATTCTTTTATTTTTTAAACATATTTCTTGTTCTTTAACTCTGGTGGTCTGTTTCTTCCTTCTATCACATATTTCAAAGACTGGCATTTAACACTGAGTTATGAGCCATGTCACTAAATGTGACTTCAGAAAATAACGTATCAATCCCACGAATAACGTCTCAAAATCACTCTTAATAAAGGCGAGGAAAAGTCTATCGGTTTAGAAGACCTCTTACGGTTTGTTTCTAAAGTCTTTCTTCAGTGCAAGAAGCTCTTCACGAATAATGGATGTTAGGTGGATTTTAAAAGCAAGCTACACAAAAGAGGGGCAGTAGTCCTCCTGCTAAGGCACAAAATTAAAGCCATCAGCAGGATCTAACGGGGAAACTCCAACTGAGAAATAATGTGTCCACGAGAGCAGATCTAAGTTTTCCAAATGAATGTGGGCCATTTAAAAACACTAATTTTTCTATCCTTCAGTAGACAGATTAATTAGGGCAGGGTGAAGAGGTGGCAGCCGTAATTTCAGTTCTAGTTCTTAACAGATTGCCACACTCACTTTTTTTTCTTTCACTATTTGGTCTGTGAAAGGATACAGAAACAGATAGAGGCTTGAGGTCTGATAAAATATACTATGCATGTATTAGGGGCATAATAAACTCTTTCCTCAAAAGAAAAAAGGCAGAAGACATAGGGATGTCATCCTTCCTGGATACATACATTCTGAACCAGAAAAGGTCTCCATTTTCTGACTCCCCAGCTCTCTGGAAATCCGGTATGTCTTACCCTTCCCAGAGTTACTAAGGAGCTGGTGGTAAAGCAGGTTGGATTTCTCTAAGATCATTTCCTACCACAAAGTTCTATAATTTAAATTTTTTAGTTTCTAAGAAAAGCTTATTTAGGATTTAGGACACTGCTTTCAGAAAAGCTGCCTTCATTTTTCTGAGGGAGAAAAAAAGGACCACTATTGTAAGCGGGTAAATAGCAATGTTCATTTGGGATTTCTTTCGGTTCAAGTTTCAGCTTCATACGACCTCAAAGAAATCGTCATCAATGAAACCTTCATGCCCTCCAAATCCAGGTTTTCCCTTAATACTCTGTCAAGCACAGACATTACCACTGAGGCAACTGCCTGGTTTTGTGTCTGGACCTCTTACCAGACTGTGCATTCCACACACACACATTGCCTTGGTCATCACTAGAATTCCAGCATAGTACACAGCACCCAGAGTGTACGCTTTGTGTTCAGCACATTTCTACTGAATTAATGAAATGCCCTGAGTCCCATTTCCTCCAGGTAGCCCGCCACCCCCACCCCAGAGGCTCCATCTTACACTTTCTATGAATTCCTACCAACCCATTATTATGCAAGGTAGTCCTTGTTCCCAGATTTATGAGGGGTTTGTTTATGCCAAGATAATTGATAAACTTCTTGACTATACCAGTCAAACCCTGTAGCTCCTTAAGGAGGTATTCAGCAAATATTTGCTAATCAAATTTTGGCTCTGGACACCTTAAAATATTCATCTTAGCTCATGTAAAGTCTTTCAGGAATTAAACCTCATCATTATTTTAGGGTGATTTGAGAAAAATTCCTTATGAAATCTACTACTGCAACCATTTGGTAGAGGAGATTCATAGCAAAGCAACTTGAAATTAAACCTGCCATTTGGTGCCATTCAAAGACTTGGGGTTCTGTTAAATAAGGGTCTCTTGAGATACTTTACAAGTCTATTTTATGGAAAATTTCTAAGACCCAATAAAAATGCAAAAGAAACATCACTGGATCTCAGTGAGAGGCTAGTTTAAACCAACATCAACTTATCTAAACCTATCTTAACCTAGAGTCAAAGTCAAAATCTTAGCACCTTTGGAATGTCTACCTTTCGGAACAAGGACCACACTTTATACAAGAAATAATGGCATGATGGATATCAGAAGTAAAAATACATGGAATTGGAATTTATGGATTTTCTTTCATTTTAACTAGGTGTGTGTATACATGAAAGAAAGAAGAAGAGACGGAGAGAGAACAAAGGTCCACACCTCCTGCTGAAATCAAATACTTTCATTATCAGAGTTCAGGTTTAAAAAGTGGCCTCTACAGAAAAGTAGTTTAGAAATAACAGTTTGTTCTACCTTACTTCTAAAGAGGATTTGAAGGAGCCCCAGAAAGAAAGCCCAGGAAGAGGCTTATATTTGAAACTAAATTTTACAGGCTTTCAATGGAATTGTACTGATATCCTTACTTTTCCCCCCTAAGAAAAAATGGTCACATTACAAGTTACGAATTGCCAAAAGAGAACTGCATTTAATTTTGAACCCCCCATGGACTTTTCTGTCATATACAATTTTTTAATCATATAAACAAATAGAAACATAAGTTTTTTAAGATGTAAAAAAAAAATCCAACTGACAATTTTAATATACAATAAAGGGTAAGCTTAGTAACTGCCTAAGCCATTATCTGCCTGTTTCTGCTGCTAGCAAGAGACATCTTTTTTAACAGACTGCCCTCATAGATACTTGAAAGCTATAAATTCAGCAGATTGACTACACCATAACTAATATTATCCCAGACACACACCACCACCCCCCTCTTTTTTTTTTCGCCAGTTCTAGCTCTAGAATATAAGCTCTGCTTAAAATGAACAGGGAAATTGTACCTGAAATAAAGAATTAAAATAAGTCATTCAGTTTTTACAAAATGCTAGGAACAAACAACCAGAAAAATAAATTCACAGGTCAGTAAGCAGGGACTGGCAATCTCCCTGATTTTTTTTTTTTTTCACCCTCTACCCAGAACACAATCAGCATAAATAGCCTGCTTTGTTCCCAGTAAATGTTGGCTGGCCTACAGTCAGGGAAGGGACTCCTTTATACAGCAAAGAAGAAAGCTACTTAGAATAGCAATGTTTTTCGGCTTCCTGTAAAAACCATTCAGCCAGGCACTCACCAACCCTGTGGTTGCCATGGAAACAGAACTGAAGCTAAAAGATGACAGCACTTACAGTAAAGAGCTTCTCACTGGCATCTGCAGACAACTCCCTACATTTAGTCTGCTTTCATTAAAAAAAAAAAAAAACAAGGACTTAACTTTCTTTTTCCCACTGTGTCCTCCCCGTAATAATGATGATTCACCAATGGAGACTAATCATAGAATCTTTTTTTTTTTTTGGATGGGGGAGGTGGGTAATTAGATTTATTTATTTTTATGGAGGTACTGGGGATTGAACCTTAGCAAGACTTTGTGCATGCTAAGCATGCGCTCTACCACTTGAGTGACACCCAATGCCCCCAGTCACGGAATCTGGAGGCCAAAGATTTGGTTTCAGGAAGTACCTCTACCATTAATATCCCAATAGGATGAAAAATTCACAGATATTTATAGCTACTAAATTCTGGGAGGAGGGACAATGATCGCCCTTCCTATAAAGGAGGTGATTTCTAAGCTGACCCTCTGACTGCCCCCACTGAGGACCCCGGTCTTAATTCCTACAGGAAAAAAGTTACAAACCTACTCCAGAGCTTTCCACCAAGGGAGAGAGGCTGGAGCCAAATTTTAGCAGAATTCAGGTGAGGAAGTCAGAGGAAATCTGTGAAGCATGAGTTTTCCTCTAACTCTGATATAGAAGCTAAACATTTTCAAGCAGAAGTGACTAGAACTTTGAGTCAGTGTTCCCTAGGACTCAGTCATATTGCCGTAATAAACAAAGAAAGAAATCATAGTGTTACAGAAGAGGCAACTGAGAATCAAAATAAGGCGATAATTTTCTAATCCAAACTTTTCTGTTTCCAGCAGAGAGGGAAAGGAAACAAACGGCACACACTAGGAATCTCACTGACACAGGAACTGCACCAGCCCCCAGAAGCACCCTGGGAAGTGGGCATGGTGATGTCCATTTTACACAAAAAGGAACCAAGGCTCAAAGAGGTTAAGTCACCTGCTCAGGGTCTCACAGCCAGTGAGGGAGGAGCTGAGATCTGAACTCAGCCTGTCTGACTTGGGGTGCATCCTGTGTACTTGACCGTACACTACAGTGTGATTTACAACCTATGAAAACATCCTAAGAGACCTTATTGAGATAAGTCACAGAAGTTTCTATACTTGTCTAAAACCCGAACCACCACTATTTTTTCTATGTTGTGCTTTTGTGAAGTAAGTGAATGGCAAGCATGTAAGCATATATCTAGGTTTTTTTTTTTTTTTTAAAAGGATCAACTTCCAAGTAATGTCTTAAGGTCAGGACAAGTTGAGGCCAACCTCCTATACTTTAGGGAATACTTAATATATTCTGAAATTGATATCTTCAAACAAATCGGCTCTTTCTAAAAACAAATTACAAGCACAAGTTGGAATCATATGGTTTTTGAATAGGACTCCATATGCGGCCAGACTGGAGATTCTAAGAGTATACATACATATTAATAAATATTGTGACTTTAAAGATTTTATCACAAAAGCAAAACCTGCAACATCTTTCAGAAATTCATCCTCTGCATACCAAAAAATCCATCATCAGGTTAGTCCGCTCTCTTGGCAACAGTTTAGCATATGGTAAGCACATTCAGATAATAAAGGCCCTTGGAATCAAGTCTAAGAGAACCATTCATTGGAAGAGTATGGAAAAGCTTGATCAGTTCATTCAATACTTATTCTGGAAAACACCAAACACTCATCACTATCAGAACAAACACCATTATAAGCTCTAAGGCAGTAGGGCTATTTAAGTTTGAGGGGACATCATCCCTATTTCTTTAAAAATGAATCATGTCTTTTCTTTTTTTAATGTTTCTTCTGATCTTAAAATTACTTTCCTCCTCCCTTGCCATCACATTCTGAACCTTCATCTTTTGTATCATAAGGACCACTCCAACTATTCTTTTAGCAGCCCCCCGTCCACTTCTAATTTACTGCATTTAACATTCTGGAGAGGTATTTCAGGTTTCAGAAACTTAAATGTAAAGTAAGAGTCACCTGGGTGAGGGTTAGAGGCTTTGATTGGAAGGAAAGAAAATAAACTTTAGTGCCCAAATCTCACACTAATGACAAAGCTCCCTTTGTGTATTTCCTCGTTTTAGGCTGTGGTCCAGCCTGGTGAATAGGTCAGATTTGAGTCCAAAATAAGTGGGGCAGTTCTATGCTACAGAAACCGTAAGGTTTGGGTTTCTATTGCTGCGTCTATTTTTCACAGTGACAAGGAATCAAAATCTTCATTTTCAAACCAACGTAAATCCTACATGAAAAGCAATGAGAAAATTTTCCCAATGCAGCCTTCTTAGCAGATGAAGGTCCTACTTTGATAGCAGAAGAAATCCTCTGAATAAGTTACATGCCTGTGGCTATTTAGACACAGAAAGCATGCCATCTATTTGAATTATTTATAGCAACACTTTTAAAACGAGTATGATATTGGCTCAGGCAAATACCACAATTAGATCTCCCTGTTTAAAAGGCACCTGTTCCTGAAACACAGCCAAAACTTGTTACACTAACATATACATAACTGATTTGCGAGTTGTTAGAACAAGTCCTCAGTTTGGGAGGACTCAAAGCAAGGTATTCAGAGGTCAGACTCATTGGTTTATCAAAAATACAAATACTCGTAGAAGAGTTTTATCTATTGACTGTGCACCTCTACTCCCATATACGTGAAACTTTAGAATGAAGGTAGACATAGCTTTTTTGTTGTTTCATTTTTAGGTAACTTAATACATTTAGGACCAAAGACTGCAGCAGATAATGCCCAGCACCCAGAGTTAATGTTATTTTGTCATCTTTGCCTCACATCTTTTTCTTGTATAAAAATAAAACAAAAGTTAAAATTGCTTTTGTTCCTGGTCCCAAGCCCCATTTCTCCTCCCTCCTGCCTGCCTTCCTTCTCCACCACCCCAGGAAAATACTATCAAGTATTCAGCCTGGGTCCTCGCAAGCCATGTTTTTAGACTTCATATTACAGACAACCAGGAACATTATTTAGTATGCTGTAAAAATTTTATTTAAGTTATAGCATACTAAATATATCAATTCTGCAATTTACTTTTCTTCACTCAGTACTGATTTTGCAACCTAGCCAGGTCTTACTTTTTCTTATCAATTCCTTTTATTTATTTTTTTAGGTCATCGATCCATTCTTCATGTTTTTGTTTTCAAAAGATTAATTATCACTCTGCCATTGAACATTATTACCTTTGATTGCAAAGACAAATTCTACATACACTCAGTATTTCCAAAATCTTTCAAATAAATGCCTGTTTCCTCAGAATATCCATTTAGTTTATATATTACCACCATTATAGTGACCAAGTTCTCAGATGGAAGAAAAGATGTGTGAATCAATTCCTTCTCTGCCCACAGGCTTCATCTCCAATGACGAGAAAGGAATGTGCAGCAAATGCTTGACACTTAGGTCTAGGAATTTATGTATAACTGTTAATCCAAGAACAAGGTTTCTTCATCCAAAGGAGTATAAACTCTGGAAAAAAGAATTTTTAAATTACTAAAATTTAAAATTATTTTTGATGGAGCTCTACCTACGCTTTCAGGGCAAAAAAAATCTGCAAGATGACTTAAAAGTGCTAATTCATAGAAACAGTTCCTTTCAAAAGACAAAGCAAAGGAAGAAAAAACAAAATCGTATGTCAGATTTATTCTATACTACAACACAAGACAGGTTTTAAAGGCACAGGAAACTTCTGCTTCACAGGGAATACATAAAAGGAACCCCTCCCCGAAGAACTGCACAAGCAGGGAAATGCTGATGAGCTGTGCACACGCAGAATTTCTTATCTTTTTCTTGCATCCAGAGACATGATATTCTTTCAAAGAAACATCTATGTATTTTTTGCAAATCTCCAGGGGTGTCAATTAAACTGGGACTGGGACCAGTGAGTAAGGGAAGTTATCTGTAAGCATTTATCATCAAGTTATATGCCTTGCATGGAGAGCCAGCTGTCTTAAATAACCATCCCCTCCCTGGGGCCACCAGTCTGGGCAAGAATGTTACTCATGTCAGACACTCATGTCATGAGATTAGATTTGAATGGTAAAGCAAAGGAAACGTGGTCTCTTTTCTACAGCTGGGATTGATTATTCCCTTCCCAACAAGGAGGCTGTTATTCCGCCTGGAAAGAAGAGCCTCTTTGCTTCTTGGCCATTTTCCAATCTGTTGTGGCACCTGAACGACTTAAAGAATACCCTGCCTCACTACGGCTTTAAGACCTCTCAGCCTCTCTCCAGGAAGACATTTTGGTACGTTATTTCTCCATGAATAGGAACAGAAGTGACCCTCAGATTCTTGTAGTGTGACAAGGTACCTTGGGAACCTAAGCAGGTGGATGAAGCCACGTGGATGAAGCCAGATGGAGTATCAGGATGGGGGCTTAGGGAGGTCACCATGAGCTTGGAGCCGCAGAGGAGGATGGGGAGAACGTCCAGCACCTGGAGTCCGTGACTGTCCCCAGAGCACCGTGTCCGAGGACACACACACAGGGAATGTTCAGCGAGTGAATTAGTGGATGAGCAGCACAGAGGCAGGGGACTCCAGATTCAGCAAAGCATGAGACTCATGGCGGGGGGCAGGGGTGGGCAGCTTTTCTACTACACCGTGGTGATGGCCATGGACAACCAGAGGGCTTAGGTAGAAAAGAGATGTGAGGAGAAGGGGAGAGGGCGGCATGACCACGCAGTAGTGAGGAGTGGAACTCTAGCAGGATCCCCAAAGTAAGTAAATGTTATTACCACCATGAACCCCACCCACCTATCCTCCACCACCAGAGCTGCTTTGTCTCTAGCAACTTAGATGACTTGGAGGGAATTCTCCCCCCTTACAGTCAGGACAAAGACACGGGAGCCCGTGCAGACCTCAGCATCAGGAGCGCTGTGGACAGGAAGCGTGTGCGCAGGGAACAGAGAAGGCGCTGAGGAGGCAAGAGGCACAACACTTCCACCTACTAGAACCTGAAGAAATGCAAAAATGGGTTATGACGGTAACCACGATATATTCCACCCACAGTGAACAAACTATTTAAATACATATAAACTACAACTATGTAGACTCACTCAGTGATACCTGTTAAGACCAAATAGGAAATCTTCACAAATGTGAGGCCCGGGCCAAACAGCCCACAAAGGCTGCACCGACACCTGCAGGGCTGGTGACAAGCCCTGGCCGGGGATCCAGAACGCTTCCCTCCTCACAGTATGGTAATGGGCAGCCCTGCTCCTCGCCTCCACTTCTCACGTGTTCTGCCTTAGTCCGGCTAAGTCCCAGTTCCCCACCACAGACACACAGCTGACCCCGAAGAACAGGGGTGTGAACTGCGCAAGTCCACTTATACTTGGACTTTTTTCAATAAAAACTACAGAACTACTTCAGACCCGCGGTGGGGCTGAATCCGCGGATGCGGAGGACCAGCTATGGGACTTCAGCATCCGCGGCTTTCGGTATTCATGATGGGTCAGGGAACCAGCCCCCCCGTGGATACCGTGAGAGGACATTACTCATCACCTCCCCTTTCTACGACAGGAGAAGAACCTGCTCACAAGCCAAGAAATTAGTTCCATCTTTAATACCCATTCAGAAAAAGGCAATTGCTGCTTCCATGCCTGGTGGGAGGGCTACAGTACCTCTCCCGTAGCTCTCGGAAGGCAGCCAGCACTCTCTCGGATAACTGTCTCTGGTCAGTTATCCCCAGGCTAAATAATCTCACCAACAGAGGAGCCTGGTGAACAAAGCTTGTAATGTACTTTTTTAAAGTGGCATCTTTGCTTAGGAAAAAAAAAATCAAGACTGATTCAGAAAAATGGGGTTCTGAAATGATTATGTTCCTGACTTGATAAAGACTCAGGCCCCCCTCTAAAGTGACAGAGCCATGTAAACAAATAAGGACAAAGGGCCTGGGGGTGAGGGATGGGTGGGATGCGCTCATCCCCGGAAGCGGTGCAGAGCTTCGGTCTGGGTGTGGCGGCGCGGGCACGGTTTTAAAGAAGCGGACAGAACCTTGCTCCAAAGAGAGAAACGCTCCTCTGATCCTGTTCTCTACATCCTGACTCCTGAGGAGGCCACCTTGGGAATGTTAACAGCAAGCAGCAACCGCTTCACAAAGAGATCTGACAATGGGAACAGATTCCAACACTTCCGCCCCAGGACAAACAGGATGCTGGCGGGGGACTCGGAAGGGAAGTTCCAGCACAGCACAGAGGGCCGCTGGGCAGGACGTCCTGAAACCGGCTCCGGGGCTGTGCACGTGTGTCCCCGCCGCCTGTGCAGCCTGTGCGGTGTCTGAGGGGGAAGCACTTGCATCTGCGTGGCGGTGACCGCGGTCCTCGGGGCTCACTTCCTGGGCGCTGCTGGAGCGCGGTGTCTGGGGCCTGCTCCTGCTAGCAAGTCACGTTTTGCATTGGCATTGCCCGCCTTCTTTGCCTTCAGTGCAGTGGGATTTGTAATCACGGAAGATTCAGAACCCCTTCCACTTCACAACAGTTCGGCAATCCTTCCCTCTTAAGTCATCAGCATCGCTGTGGGATAGGTAATTTGAATATTACTCTCATCACTGCCTTGAGCTGTATGTGGAGTGACCCCCCTTCCGCTCCTTTTGTTTGAATTGGCTTGGCTCCCCTCCTCTCCCAACCTCTCCCAGCAGCAGCTCTCCTATTAAAATTCATGATTGTTCCCTCAATGCAAGTGTCTGATTGCAGCTGTCGGTTTCCCAGTTCAAGGATTTTCATACTGCCTGGGAGGACAATGCAAGGCTTGCAGTGCTAAGGAAATAGGTCAAGCTCAATTTCTCTATTTCAGTTCTCCTGCCAAAAGCGCAGACTTTTCCTTCTAAAAAATACATCCTTCCGGGGAGGCTCCACACTTAAAAGAGGTGAACGGGGCACACTCCTTTCCCTTCCCAAGGGGAGCTGCTGTGGTTTCCTCACACAATGCCTCAGGAGCCTTTGTTCCATCACTGGTGACACCTGGAAGAGCCGGTCTTTTTACTCTGCGTGTTATTATGCTTCAGGGACATAGATACCAACCAAACAAACCGACCACATAAGAACCAAAGATAGAGCACCCAGCACCAGAAAGATTCCTAATGTTCTAAAGGCCACGGCCATCCTGCCGAGCTGGCTGCATCCTGTGCCCCCTGGAGAACGAAGGGCAGGAGAGCAGAAACCTGTCTCGCACTGCAGCCCGATCCATCTTCCCTAGCCCTCCCTCCCCCCACCCGACTCCCACACAGGCTTATGCACTTCCACTTTTGGCAAACGCTGCGGAAACACTTTAAAAGAGGGAAAGAAGAGAAGAGGAGAACATTCTTGAACCCTCAAAAAGCCAATATAATTCCCAAGTATATCACTCAGTTACTGAATGTAGCTAGAAGGGACCGAGCGTTTGTCTAAGTGGTGCTAAACTCCATGCCCACCTCACTTTACAGGTCTGGAAACAGAAGTTCAGAGAAGATAAGTGAATCCTCTAAGGCACAAACGCAGTGGCAGGATTAGAAAGGAGCCAGGTCCTCTGACTCCTTGAGGGCTCTTTCTGCTTTACTCCAATAACAGGAAAAAGGGAGAGGCATGCCACTGAGAGATGGACAACTGAACACCTTGAATCCAGCTAATTTTTCTTGGACTGCCAGGTAAAGATGAGAAAGAACAAAGTATCCTTAAAACAACAACAACAACAACAACAACAACAACAAAAAAAAAACAGCAGTACTTGCTAGAGTGAGGAGACATGGATTGTAACGCTTAAAATCTGTTCAATAACGTTGAGAACGTTATTAGTCATTCTGGTTCTCAGTTCTCTCATTCATAAAGCTAGAGGGTTGGGAGGCATGATCTATAGGTTCCTTCCTGTCACACACATGCGTGTGTCCACACATAATTCACTAAGATTCGCTCTGTGGTCCTGGCACTGTATGAGGCACAAAGGGAATTAAAAAAAAAATGATTAGTAAGACAAGGAAGGTCCCTTTCATTAAAGAACACGTATATTTCCTGCCTATTATCTGTTAGGTCAAGCCACATCTTCAAGCATGCAGAACAGCAAACAACTTGGAGCAGATTATGTTATTGAACACCTCTTGCATACAAAGCACCATGCCTGGTATTGGAGGAACAACTACTAAAAGTAAAAATGAACGACATAACCAAAAAATTCCTCAACTTGGGAAAGGAAACAATCACCCAAGCCCAGGAAGCAGAGAGTTCCACACAGGATCAACCCAAAGAAGAACACACCAAGGCACACAGTCATCAAATTGACAAAAATTAAGGATAAGGAGAAAATATTAAAATCAGCAAGAGAAAAGCAACAAATAACATACAGGGGAACTCCCATAAGGTTATCAGCTGTTTTTTCAGCAGAAACTCTACAGGCCAGAAGGGAGTGGCACAATATATTTAGTGGCAAGAGGGAAAACTTACAACCAAGAATACTCTGTCCAGCAGGGTTCTCATTCAGATTTGATGGAGAAACCAAAAGCTTCACAGATAAACAAAAGCTATAAGAATTCAGTACCACCAAACCAGCTTTACAACAAATGTTAAAGAACCTTCTCTAGTCATCAAACCATAAGAAAAGAGAACAAAAAGATGAAAGAGGGGGAAAAAAAAAAAGACCTACAAAAGACTGCTTTGGCAATTCAGGGTCTTTTATGGTTCTATAAAAATTTTGGAATTGTTTGTTCTAGTTCTGTGAAAAATGTAGTAAGTATTTTGACAGGAGTTGCAGTAGATCTGTAGATTGCTTTGGGTAGTACGGCCATTTGATAATGTTGATTCTTCCAATCCAAGAGCACAAGATATCCTTCCATTTCTTTGTATCACCTTCAATTTCCTTCATCAATGTTTTACAGTTTTCAGAGTACAGGTAACCTCCTGGTTAAGTTTATTTCTAAGCATTTTGTTGTTTTTGATACTACAGAAATGTTTATACCAGTTATAAAATTTGGGCTTTTGAAGTGGGAAAAAAAAAGTGAATGAAGGGTCACAAATGGTAAAATATAATTCTTTTTTATGGGTGAGTTGTGTTCCATTACATATATATGCTTCATCTTCTTTATCCATTCATCTATTGATGTGCACTTAGGATGCTTCCATATCTTGGCAATTATAAATAATGTTGCTGTTTATAGTTGGGTGTATGTATCTTTTTGAGTTAATGTTTTTGTTTTTCTCTGTATATGCCCAGGAGTAGAGTTGCTGGGCCATATGGTGGTTCTATTTTTAGGTTTTTGAGAAACCTCTATATTGTTTTCCATAGTGACTACACCAATTTACATTCCCATCAACAGTGTACAAGGATTCCCTTTTCTCCACATCCGTGCCAACATTTGTTATTTGTGTTCTTTCTGATGATGGCCATTCTGACAGGTGTGAGATGCTATTTCATAGTGATTTTGACTTGCATTTCCCTGATATTAGTGATACTGAGCAACTTTTCATGTTCTTGTTGGCCACCTACATTTCCTCTTTTGGAAAAATGTTCAGTTCTGCCCGTATTTTAAATGGGTTGTTTGTTCATTTGTTTGCTTTTTAATTGAAGTACAGTTGATTTAAAATGTTGTATTAGTTTCTGGTGTCCAGCATGGATGGACTTGGAGGGCATTATGCTAAGTGAAATAAGTCAGACAGAGAAAGACAAATACTGTAAGATATCAATTACATGTGGAATCTAAAAAAACCACAACAAACTAGTGAATATAATAGAAAAGAAACAGATTCACAGACGTAGAGAAGGAACTAGTGGTTACCAATGGGGAGAGGGCAGGAGGAGGGGCAAGATGGAGGTAGAGGATTAAGAGGTACAAACTATCAGGTATAAAATAAGCTACAAGGATGTGCTGTACGACAAGGGGAATAGAGCTAATATTCTGTAATAACTATAAATGGAGTATAACTTTTAAAAATTTGATTACTATATTGCATAACTATAACATATAACATATAATATCAACTATACCTCAATTTAAAAAAATGGTATTGTAAAAGAAATACATAAATAAATTTTTAAAATAAAGTAAAAAATAAAAAGTAAAAATTATTGAGGTATGACAGACATTACAAAAAGTTAAACATAGTTAGTATATACACGTTGATGAGTTCGGAAATAAATACACACCTATGAAACCATCACCACAATCAATGACTTAAACATGTAATTTGTTTTCAGAGAATGTGGCCTTAGGAGAAAATTCAGAAGTTTAGGTATCAGAAGTTCTGTGAGAGGGGAACATGCAAACCCAGCAATAATTTATGAAAAGAATTCCTAGTGAAATTATATAGTGGATGACACAAGTGTTACTTTGTTTTGACAGGTTATTTTAAATGAATTTTAGAGACAAACATTGCAGGTAAAAATAATTAAATTCAGTAATGGCTAGTGTTAGGTCACAAAAATTTAGGATATTTTTGTTAAAATCTTGCAAATCAAATGATTCATTTCCTGGGGATTTTACGTCTTCAGTCATTGGGGAGAGTTTCTGTATAATTTCAATATATTCATTCTGAACAAAAATCTTAATAAGGGGAATTAGGTTATTTATTCTTCACCCTATAATACAAATTCTAGGATTTTGCCTGAACCTGTTAGCTTGTCATAAGATATTATTTTATTCTTTAAGGCAATTGCTTTTGAAATGGTTTAATATTTCTAGCTGAAAGTAAAACAAGGTTTAAAATGCAAAAACAAAAAACAAACAAACAAAAAAAACCCCAAATGAATGACAATCTCTGTAAGCAGGAAATAAATTATTTCACTTCTCCCACGTATCTCCACAATTTTGAGGCATGTTCTAGACACGTCACGAGAGGGTTCATGTGCTGATTTATCTTCCATCCAGCCAGACGAGGGAGTGGCCTGGAGGGCTTGGAAGGGCTTCCTTCGAGAGGAGGTGTAATGAATAGACCAGACTAGCCAGAGTGGTTCAGTTGTGACTGTAAAAGAACTAGGGGCAAAAAGGTACAGGGCAATGGAGGTTGTGGAAGTACGACCTTTTATGCTATAGCCAATGCTTACATTTCTAGAACATTCCATGATC